TTTTTTGTTGTTGTTGTTTTTTTTTGCATTCTAAGTTTTTTATTCATTTTGTATTTGTTTTTCGTTTAGCTATATGCTTTTTAACCAAGGAATCCTTTTCCACTTATCATAATTAACAATGTCATCTCTTTTTTAAAGATGAAACCGGCTTCTCGACGAATGAAGCACAAAAGAAATAGCAGGGAATTTAAAATTGATAAGAAAGATAGTCAATAACAGTGAATTTAAAACATTTTTGTGGCTCTGATAAATTGTGGTTCTTTTTCTGTCATAGAAATAACCATACAACTAATAAACCTCAAAGGTATTGTCATTTGTATAAAATACATGCCATTTCCGTTCTACGCTTAGTTACTTTTTTAAAGAGCACAAAATCAATAAAACCTTAAAAACTTTGAATCAAAAGAGAAGGATAGCACTGAAATATGATTATTGGGCATGCATTAGGGCACGAGGCACAAAAATACATGGTATGATATATTAGCTGAAAATTCGTTTAATTAATAAAAAAGGCCGACTCTTCGGAACTTAATCACTAGTTAAAGTAAAGTGTTCCGTGCTGCTGAAAAAAGTTATAGTTCTTGATAACATTAATCCATTATTACAATATAGTTAGAGTTCATCTGAGATCGACCGAAAATTATTGAGAGCCTGCGAAAGTCTTTTCTTTCTTTGCTAAATTCCTGTGTAAACAAAGCGTTCAGCTACCTTGCTATATTCATTTACTGTAATAAAAACTGTTTTTTTCTCCTGAATTTCGAGGTTTCCCTTAACTTAAAAAAACTCATCATTTAAATATGCCTACTTGAATCCCTGTAATTCAAGTAATTCTTCGTATTTTCACCTGCAATTTCTATATGTTCTATTGATAAACACACGCAGAAAAAGAAAAGGTTCTCTTCTACACAATCGAAAGCTTTATTCGAGCACTAATCACATTGCTGTTAATAAATAATTCATCCAAATGTGAATTTCTCGTTATGTTGGCTCCACGATTAGCCATTAGTGTCAAATCAAGGACCAACCCAAATGATATATATTTAGAAAACTGCAAATCAGAAATAGACCAAATAATTAGGTTCGAAATCTTAAGTCTCATAAAGCACAACAATATGTCCCTACCATCCAACGGCTCATAAAAAGTTATAATAAAAGGCGTGAAAAATGAATAATTCTTTTTTCAATGGCAACAAATAAATAATTCATTAATAACACTTCGGTATGATAATCAAAATAAAAGCCAGCAGCTTTGTTTTTCATATCCATAAAAGAACCGTGTGCCCAAGGATATACTGGAATAAAGTCAAGTCAACTAATCCTCCTCTATACTTTTGTTGATCTGTTAAAAAAAGGTAGGTCTGAAATAAGTCAGACAGACATCCTGTTTAGTATAATATGTATTATTTTAGCAAATAAATTTCCGGTAAGTCGTAATCTATCGCCATAACTACACGATTTACACTGAAACAGCTATACGTCTGTGAAATAAAATAAGAAAAAATAAGGTTTCTTGATAACCAAAGAGCAAAAACTACGGCCTATAAAGATGTGTTTACAGTATAATTTAAAGCGTAAATATTTGAGCAAAGCGGGTTTCAATAATTATTCTACTCCTGTCTCTATAGTTGCTATCATTTCTGATCCAAGAGAAACATATTAACTTAAATGCTTGGGCATTTTGAACTTTGTCAGGTCGAATTTATTCGTCGATAAGTTTTGAACGTTTCGGAAAGTATATTCAAATCAAGGATAGCATATCTGTAGGGCACACGACTCTCACTTCTAAGGTCTCCGGCTCGATTCCAGGTCCACATCAGCATTTGCTGCGATTACCCTGCCCGATTAACTAAACGATGTATGTATGTATTAGGAGAGATTGTACAGTCTATCCCTTGATTCAAGCACCGTTTTTCTCCAAGTTTTCCGGTTTTTCATTATACGCAAAACTTTAACAAGCTCAGTCAGTTCCAATCCAATCTCAGTCACAGTTAGCAGTAACTCCGAGTTGAACATCCCGCCGTGCAAGAAGTCGTTTCTGGCCGGGTTTCGTAAAAATTGAATTTCTTTTTCTCTTGAAACGCGCCCAATTTTCTGTGATAGACACTGTATAAATGCTATTCTTTTCATTGTTTTCTTCATTTTCTTCTTTTCTTTTCTTTGTATTTGATGGGCGTTGGTATGGTTGGAAATCGCGCCAGCCTCATTCCCGCCTCCCATTCAAGCTATCTAACCACTGAAAAAGTCTAGCAAATTCGTTTTTTTCACCCAAAACTAATGCGGCTAATTATAACAAAGTGACCACGATGTCTCATCAACGTTACTCCGTCGAAGAACACGCATATGAAAAGATAAATTCATATTTGAACTTTTAAGACCATACAGCGTTTGTAATGTTTGTGTTTTTTTTTTCATTTCCAGCCATATGTTATTCCGTTGAGCGCCTTTTTCTCCTTAGTTTTATTTACTGGTTGCCAGTTCGCAAAGAACTGAGCAAATTGCAAATTCTCAGTTTTAATTGTTCCTTTTTTTAGTGCTCTTGAGGGATCAGTTAATCTTTTTAGACTGATTAAAAGTTTAAATCTTTAAAAAGATTTATATCTTTTTTTTTTTTTTTTTCGTTTCACATCTTCGAATTCTAGACAGTTAATTGTGATTTCCCATAAATCCTCAACACTGCTAATTCAATATTTTTTCACTTAGATTCATGCAAGTATAAAGGATGATAACAACAACCACCATATTTCCACTACTACTTTACATTACTTATTCCTTAACTCATTCTGCAGCCCTGAAATCAAGGTAAGAATGTTAACTAACACAAAATTACATGATAAGCAACTTAATAATTCACGAGGAAAACACTATAAATATAACGACGATAAAGAATTTAAGAATCATATAAAATCTAGTTCATTTGCATACAATTTTAACTTGTATTTTCTTTGGCAGATTTACTTTTATCTCGAAAAGTTTAGTGAAACATGAACTAGTTAACTATATCAAACTTTCCCCGACACTTTCACGCAGATAAATTTGTCGTTTGTGTAGCCTATATACATAACGAACTCTATATTTGTTAAGCTTACCTTATTTGAAAGTAAACACAGATTCCTATTTGGTGATTTTTCCGCCATTTAGAGCTTTAAAAGGTCAAAAATATGAATCAAAACTGGCAGATATTACAGCGAAGATACACTTTTCATTTCAATTGTCCACCATCTTGATTTTAGCTTAGAAACCTGGTCTTTGACAAAGGAAACCCAAAACTTGTTAAAACCACAGGAATCCCACGGGAACGAGAATATAACTAGATGTTTGTATATAACACGAATTACATTTTAACTGAAGCGACGTAGATATGAGTATTAACGTTCTTGGTAATAACAGAGGCGAGAGCTATGTTTCGTCAAGTTAATTTTACTTTCTCAGCAGAGAATTTGTTTTGCTAAATACAACAAATAGTGGCTTAATGTCGTAATTGAGAAGGAGAAAGAACAGATGAAGAGGAGAAGAAGGAAGAAAAGAAGAAG